CCTGCTGAAGTCATTCACAGGCAACTAATCAATTCAACTAATTTAACCAGATACATTAATGCCTTTTGGAACTTTCAAAATAATTCTCATAATCCCAATTAAGAACAAGAAATTAAGACTATTCTGCAGTTTCTACAGCCCTGTCACTGTAGAAATGGAGGCACTATCAAATTTAAAGTTTGGTAGAGTTTTCAACTTCTTAATTGAGGATTATTTGTAAGTTTTTCAGGAAGCCTGTCCGTCTAGTTTCTGAGAGTCTTTGCAGGCACTGGCCTTTGTACAGCATGCTTCCTTCATGCCTATGAAAGAATCTGTATAGAGAGTTACACTTGAGAACTTACCAACTACTGCCAAGTTGTTCTTGCACATGAGTAACCAACAGGTGTAACTGGTGGCTCAAGTGGCATTAAGGCATTTACTTGCTTAACTTTTTCTTGCCAAAGTATTTGTATACCTCCCTTTCATCCTAACATACCTTTGGTACCATCAAAGCAAGAACTAAAGTACTTCAAGGGTTAAGACCCATTTCTTGGAAACATTCAGATGTTTATTGTTTAAATGTTCTTCAGACAGAAGAACTGGACATAACCATTTCCCAAATAGTTTCAATAGTAACTTTCATAGCTACTTCTTCCCAATATCAGTCTTTTCATCCTGAATTTCAGCTGTAGCAGTCTGCATTTTTACACTGGCTTTCAGTGCATATTTGAGTTTTGGGTAGTGTCCTAAAGTAAAGTTTAAGTAACTTGCTAAAAGTTGTTGATTAATTGTTCCAATCAACATTTAAGTCCCTAAACTTTAATGGTATGGTGATGATCTGTCACAGGGAATTCACAGGAAAATGGGTAATTTTTTACAAGGCTTTTAAATAAAAGCCTTTTATTTCAGTTTAGAAGGATGACATCAAAGCAGCAATTGTTGCATCTGAAAAAGGAAGTTATGATACATAAATACCATATTCATAATAAAAGCCATTTATTAAATGAATAAACTGAAATAATATAATCAGTAAATGTCTTAAATGCTGGATGATCCACATTACATTTTGGAGTTTTTTGTTTTTTTCCCTCAGGACAATAGATTAAAGATTGTAGGTGTGAATACGTACGCGTGAAAGAGGAAAGTTTAAGATAGATTAGGATGTTGAGGTATATGCAAGATAGTGTATAGGACTAAGGTCTACACTCCTGATTCGAAAGAAGATGAATGTCAGCAAAATGACATCAAAATGAAAATCTAAAGTATAGAATAGCAAAATATTACCTGTGGATTCTTAATTCCTTGCTGAGTTCCAGTGAACCACTGCATTTGAGTAAACTAAGCTTTATTCATTCTTGATGAATCCCCTGCCCTAACAAAGTGCACTTTTCAAACTGCAAAATCCAGATTCTAACCACTTCAGCTCTTGTTCCATCAGCATTGCCAGGGTGTCCATATATCTGACAAGGAAAACAAAAGGTCTTAGCACAGGGGTGGGCAATTATTTCGGGTGGAGGGCTACTTACTGAGTTTTAGCAAGCTGTTGAGGGCTGCACGGGTAGCCCCGCCCGTTGGTCACCATCTTGAGGCCATAAGTCCCGCCTCTTGACCTTTGCCACCAGAAGTCCCTCCCCTTGCCTCTAGAAATACTCCTTTGAGGAAGAGGATTCACCACCCTGCTCTGGGCCCTGCTGGTCCTGGTCCTGCCAGACTGCTGCTGGTGTCACATGCCCGTTCACTCCCAGTACCCCCACACCAACCCCGTGGTACCCCAATACCACACATCCCAGGCTGCCCATCTGGGCTGAGCAGTGTGGGGGGGGAACAGACTGGTATTCAGCGTGGGAGAAAAGCGGTACTCCCCCTCCCCATGGCTAACGCTTCCTGTTACAGCTACTCACAGCCTAGGTGGGGCTGTCTTGCCTCTCTGCTGCATGGAGTGGCAATGGAGAGCAGGCACAGGCAGCCCCGCGCAGACTCCGAGTGGCTGTAGCACAGGCTGCTGGCAGTGGGAGTGGCTGCTTTTCACCACCACCACTGCTCAGCCTGCGCCCCATACTAGCTCCGGGCTAGCCTGTCCAAGTTGAGTGGTAGCTGCAGTATCAGCAGCAGCTGGGTAGAAGCTCAGGAGGAGGAAAGCCCTCCCTGCTCCCCCCGCGGGCAGTGTTTGCTGTAGCTGCCCACCCAGAACTCATGCTGCACTTGGCTGCGGTGCAGCTGCTTCACCACTGCTTGGCTTGTGAGCTGCATTGCGGCTGCTCCACAAGGCCACTGCTGCCACACTGAGCAGCACAGAGGTGGTGCTGAAGCAGCTGCACTGCAGCCTAGCATGGCACGAGCTCCAGGCTGGTAGCGGCAGCAGACACTGCCCAGCAGTGGTGAGGGGGGGCCACTTTCCTCTGCACCGGGCAGCAGTTTCTGTCCAGGTGCTGCTGCCACCACTCAGCAAGGATGGGTGAGCCTGGAGCTGGCCTGGGGCCCAGGCTGAGCAATGGCGGTGGGGAATAGACTGGTGCTCAGCATGGGCAAAAGCAGCCACTCCTTCTGCTGCCAGTCCCCCATGCTGCAGCCACTCAGAGCCTGTGTGGGGCTGCCTGTGCCTGCATTCCATTGCCACCACTGCCCCACAGGGTGACGCAGCAAAGATGCAGAACAACCCCGGGCGGGCTGCTAGCAGCTGCAGCAGGAAGGGCCAGCCGCAGGGAGGGCCAAGCGACCACTTTTTTCCCCATACTGAGCACCAGTCTGTTCCTTGTCGCTGCTCCTCAGCCAAAATGGGTAGCATAGGGCACGTGGTGTCAGGGTACTGCGAGGCTGGAGTGGAGGCACTGGGAGTGAGTGGGTGTGGGAGCCAGCAGCAGCCAAGTGGGAGCACAGGGCCCGTGCCCGAGTCCAGGGGCCAGCGCCCACGGGGCCCAGAGCAGGGCAGCAGGAGCATGGGGTCCCAGCTGTCAGGGGCTCTATGGAGCCCAGTCAGCTCCCTTCTATCCCTGCTGGCACAGCCCAGCCTGGCCCCACAGACCCCTGCCAGCCCATGCCCGCGCTTCTACCGCCCTGCTCTGGACCTTACTGGTGCTGGCCCCAGGACACCAGCACAGGTCCCGCATGCCCACTCGCTTCCACTCCCTCTGCCCTCACTGCCACTTTCCCCGCCCGCTGGCCACTCTGCACTACATGGTTCCCATACCCACATCCAACACACACACACACACATCAACACAGCTCTGGTAGGGGAAAAATAAGAACAGCCTCACACTGTTTCTGAAGGACTGCAGCCAAGACCTGCATATAAAGCTCCTTAAAGGAGGAGATGTGTTCAGCAAACATCATTTTCCCTTTAAGGAACTGGGAAAAACACGGACAAAGGATGTAAGCTGTTAGATACATGTGGCAGGCCTACTGATCCCATGACACATGCACACGCTGCCCAGAAACACCAAAGACATTTCTGTGTGTTCTAGTTTTACATTAAAAACACTAGCAAATATAAAGCCTACTATTTCTTTTAAAAAGTCTACAGGAAAACAAGATTAAGTAAAATCCAGGCCTTTTTATATTCTATATATGCAATTCACCATCCTGATATAAAAGCAACTTAGGGGCTATGTATCTGCTTTCTGTACCATGAAAGCAGAGCAGTTGAACTTAACGTTGCTTAGAATTCTGTGTTTACAAATGGATACCGTAAGCAAACAATCTGCAAATTCCCACCTTGAGATGGGATCTGCTATCAACCCCAAATCATCTTCAAACACCTCCAAATCAGAGTTTCACCTGCTCACAGACTGCACTCCTTCAGTTCTTCAGCAATGTGTTTGGTTACGTTGTCAGACATGTGCACAGTTGTAGGCTCTTATGTAAGTTTTTTCCATAGAAGACGTGGGTACTAGTTGCCTTCTGCACACTGCTGCTGCTGTACAATTTTATAGTTTTTAACAATGGTTAATAAAATGCACTGAAGAGCGAGAAATCTGAAAAGATGTATTCTTGAAAACAGTTCCTTTATCAAACTCTGAACTGAAGTGCCAGGTCTTTGCATATGCTGGGCTGCACTCCAGTTTACAGCAACTAGTGCATCTCAAAGGTAATATGAACGGTTTGAAAATGAGGATAAATTCAACCTCTTACTTTTTGTAATGTCTGATGTTAGTCAGTGCCCATGAGACAGTCTGAATTTTATCAACCCTTCCCTCCCCTCTGTACTATTTTCTTAGTAGTCATAAAAAAATATAGAATCTACAACAGTGTAATTTGGTGTCGCTCCAATAAACACGTACACAAACATATTTACATCTTTTACTGTTCTACCACAAAATGATTGCTATAAAGATTAAGAATCAAAATATTTTCTGTTAACAGGATTACCTAAGGATGCATTAAACTCTTTCACAAAATAATTATCTTCATTAAAATCAGACAGTATTTCAGTTCTACAAAACAAGCTCTACAGATTTCTTCATCGGCTTCTGATAGAGAGTTAGTAAGGACTAATATTTGATTTTGGAAGTCTTTTGCTGTAACAACAGCAGCATCCTATTCCATAGCAAGAATTAGTGAAAAGTTACACTCTGAGCTGGAGTGGTGCAGTTCACATATAACACACCAAATTTATGAAACAGGAAAAAAATGAATATTTAATATGTGATAGATTCTGCAGTCTTACAAAGTTCACATTTATAAAGCCCTCACTTACTCTACTTAATTGTCTTAAAATAAATCTCACTGAGAGCCTGGAGTGTGTAATATAGTTTCTATTTCTATTGAAAATAGTTTTGTTTTGTTTTAAAAATGTCTTCTATGAATAGAAGGAAATTGTAATTAATTTTTGCTTTGGAAACCAGTCTGTAGCTTCACATCAAACCTGATGTGGCCTCAAAATATATGAGCCAGATGCAATATTATACAGATCAGTAAAGAGCATACAAAAAGTAGAGGGTGTAATAACATTGTGACAGTTTTCCAAGGTGCTGTAATCAGTGACCACCTTCAAAGAAATGGGCCATAAATCCTGAAGAATCATGACTAAAAACCCAGCAGCCCATCAATATATTGTATCTGAATCTTACCTAAAAAAACCTATATAATACATTAATATACAATGTATGTGCTTGGAAACACAGAAGTAAACATAAATAAAACTTTATTCTTTCATTTCATTTACAAGCTACCAAGTACCATGTATTTACACAGCACTGGACACTTAAAATAGTTGCAGTCACAGAATGATCCAGACTGAATAGAAAGCTGTTGATAAAGTAAAGGATCTCAGATAAAAGCAAAGTAATACTGTAACAGATAGGTGGCAAAAAAAGAAGTTTTGCCATAGTAATCAGACTTGCAATGTTGCATGAACTCTGGTTGAAAAACTGAGCACCATGCGATTCTCAGCTTTATTTATTTGCAGTCTGGCTAAAGTTTTGTAGTCATTTGTCTTTTGCAGTTATTAAAATAAAAAAGTTAAAAACTATAGCAGCAACAAGCAAACCCTGTGACAGGAAGGCAAGGGTTAAGAACTAAAAAAGTTTATACAATGTGCTCAGGAAGGTTTGCAGAGTTTATCTTCCATCAGCTGGAGTTCGACTGCGTGACAACATGATTCGGGCATATCTCTCACACAGTTCATGTGTAGAATAGGAAGGTAATTTTGGCGGGTCATTGAAACCTTTAATTTCTGTAGAACAATCAAGCAGTTTTGGCAAGAAATCTGTCAGCTTTTCTTGCAAGTTAGCTGCAAAATACAAAAATAAATGTCAAATTCTGTATTTGCTGATACAATAAAAGGAATAGCTGAATCCTGCTGTAATGAACTCTGTTATACTTACGGTCTCATGAATGCTTTCTTGTGTTTTACTGTACTGATATAGCAGGTGTAGTCTCATTGGAAAGCTCATGTTATGCTCTATTCATTTACGTTGCTTTTATCACTGCATAGATTATGTTATGTTGCCAACATAGATCTATATAATTTTACACATGGTTTAGCCAAGGGACTGAGGCATGCATACTTAAAGACAGCTGCCACTCCCAAACACAGGCAGAAGCAGATATTGGGTTGGGCACCCTGGGACATTGTCTGCCTGCAGTGGAGAGATCAACTCCACAACAGAGACAACTGAGAGAAATGGCCCTTTAGCCAGAGTGGCTCCAGGTACCTCAGGCATACCAAAAATGTTTAGAGGATTCTAGTGACTTATGAACAATTAAAATACTACTCAGGGGGGCTTGGTTGAAAGTGATTTAGAAAGCCAACTATGGCATATGCTTTGCCTTTGGTGGTGCCTGTATACGAGCACGGAGTCTGCTCTGGCGTGCTGTAATTATAGCACGATGTTTTAATTGAGTCTGCTGGAGCATGGCAATTACAGCATTCCAGCAGCTTCCTGCATCTTGTGTATCAGCGTTCCCATGCTTCAAAACGGCAGTAGGGGGACTTGAAATAAACTTGTTGAACAAGCTTTAGATCAAGTGCCCCTGCAGCCATTTTGAAGTGCAGGGACGCATGAGACACTGTGGCGCTTTAATTACAGCAGGTCTCAGAGCCACTCTAATTAAAGCACTGCTCCCCCTGAGCATGTATAAAAGTGCCCTTAGATTTCAGGCTTTGGAGCTTTGGCTGTAGAGAGCGTTCAGGGGGCCAATCATGTGACAAACGTAACTTCGGTCTGCGCCTATACTTTCTTTCAAGGTAAAGGCCACCTAAGCCTAGTGGACACTCGCCTACTGCAGATATGGAACCTAGTACAAGTGTTGAAGCTTGTTGGGATAAGAGGTTCTCAGGGCAACATCAATTTGTTGCTTGGGGCAAGTGGCAGCACAGAGGGAAGGAAGGGGGAGGGGAGGGGGAGGAAGGTCCCATACAAATGAGTTTGTGACAACTACCAGTTTCTTTATTAGTTATATCACTTTGTAATAAACTCTACCCTTCCGGCTATAAGTATTAACTAGGAATATATATATTAATTTTTCAGTCTGACAGTGTTCAAAACTAAAATGAAATAAATATGAAGCTAAACAGAACTGATATGTAAGCAATACATGTGCAATAGTGCTAATATGCATATTTCCTTCTTCAAAATGGACTTCCTTTGATGCTCTAGGATTTAATTTAATAAAGGGAGAGACAACTGTTTATGGCAATGGGTAGTAGATCAGGTCCAAATGCCATCATCTGTGGTATCAGAGAATGTTATCATGGAACATTATCATCATCATCAAGTTATATATGGCTTCAAAATTGACAATTTGTCTATGGAGCCACATGTATGTGTATAAATCTTTGAATTTAAGGAATGAATCTGACTTACGTTCCATTTCTTGTCCAAGATATGAACACCAGCGGTTTCTCATATCTTCTACAGCAATAATATCCTTTTCTTCCATTTCATCCACCAGTAGCAATGGCAAACACGGGACAATAAGCTCATTCATAATGATCAGTCCATTATTTACTTCCTGATCATCTCCTGATTCAAACAGTGCTGCAGCATGTTCATTTAGTTTCTTCACGCAACACCATAAAAAAAGGAAAGTCTGTAAGTATATAGCATTTCACATTTTGCCAGGTATCAGCTTTAAAAAAATAATTCTTTACGTGAAATGTTTGGAGTTGCAGGCCGATCGCATTGGGACCATCTCAAAAACTCTTCTCTCAGCAGATCAAGTGTTATGTCTCTTTCTACCAACAGACACCTGAATTTGGTGCCAACCTAATCATAATCTTTCTGGTAATTATTCCAGAGACAAAACTTTCTCTGCTACAATTTGTTTAAAAAATTAAGGTAAAACCCCACTATTTCTTTTGCTGTTATTTCCAGTGGCCGCTCCCTGTCAAGCTGCAACAAAATGCTGTTTGTTGTCCACCACTACAACATAATTCTGCTTACTGTCACACTTCCATGGCAGTAGACAAATTCATTACAATGTTATAGTAAAACAGGAACTGCCACTTATTCTGAAGGGACAATGATGGGAATAACCATTTTTCCTTTTAATCCTTACATTTTCCATTTTCACCCTCCTGACTTTTGAGTGCATCATAACAGAATAAGAATGTCCTTAAATTGTTAACACACGGGGGCTTTTTAATCACACCTTTGTATGCAAATTACTTAGGCTTTCTACCATTTGAAACAAACTACAAAATTTGGGGCATACACCACTTACTAGTAAACATTCTCTTCTGTAATGTGAGATCAGGTCTTCATCATGCCCTCTGTACTGGCCTTTGGACAAGAGTTCTTTGTTATTCTGATACGCATAGATAAGATACAGCAAGGCCTCCATATAACTAAAACCAAAATAAGAAACAAAAGAGTTGATTTAATGTCCAAATTTCATTTGCTTCCAGTTGCCAATGCATTACAGAAAAGGTGCCTTTCCTTTGTTTGTTTTGCTGTATACAATACAGGAAGTACAAAGAAAGAGAATTCAAAACCAAAAGATTGTTCCGTCTAATGCTAAAGCAGTTCTTGGTTCTGTGCATACTGGTGCAACTTATTTCAACAGCAAGCCAGATTGTTTACTTTTATATGGTCTACTCCAAAGTCTACTGTAAGCAGCACAAGGCTTTTGTTG